AGTATTCATGGTACAGTACTGGAACTTCGTATGGAGATATGTATATAGTTGAAATCAAGCCCATACTCATGGAGAAAATTTAGGTTATTTGAAAAGGGGTGTGAGGCCTACAAACGTACCGACCTTTAGCTATCTTTGAATGAATTTTTTTATTCTTCTGTAGGTGTGTTTGTGAGTGAAATCCTCCTAAATGGTTGTACGGATTTTAACGAAACTTTTTGTGTATTTGAGTGGGTCTCTGGATGGTTTAGTTTCACAATTTAATCCGACAGTTGGCGCTGTAGTTGAGTTATTACTAAAAATCTTATTTATGATCCGATTTGGCTAATGTTTTAAATATGTATGCAATACTATTGCAAAAACGTGCTTCCAAGTGGTGCTGAAGTCGAGCTATTACTAAAAATAGCCAAGTGAGAAAAGGGGCCGTGAAGGTCAGATTAAATCGACCTGTTGCACCATTGAGTATATCGAACGCTCCTGCGTTGCAATTGGCCCAATGGATGTGATTTACCAATATTATTATGCGTTCAAACTTTTAAGGTATTTCGTCTGAATTAAGTATATGTATATTGCATTTCTGTAGAACAATGATTCGCACCCATTTTGAAATTGCCACCTACTATACTGTAAACCTTCTAGGACATTCACTATAGAACCGGGTTGCCGCCAGGGAGTGAAGAGGAAAAAATGTATTTCGCTTTGCGAATAACCGTGCTATGAAATGCCGCACAACTGGAGAATTTCAAGAACGGATATAACACTTTCCTTAGGTTATTTAAAGCGGAAAATGACCACAAAACCTTAATCTTAGCAGACAAATGTGCCAATGAAAATCGTAAACGTGAATTGTTGGTGAAAATGTTGGACCAAAAAGTTTCAATAAAATATATAAAAATTTTGGGCGGGACGAAGTTCGCCGGGTCTGCTAGTTTTATATGAAGAAAAGCAAGTTTTCGTAGAAATGGTATAGAATTCTCTAAAATCAATATTTTTTCAATCGGAAAACATTGCTTCTCTTTAGGTGACGGCCAATAATAATACCCAATTGTTTATTTTACCATTTTTTAATACAAGCGATTTTTTATGGGCCCCCATTGAATTTTTTGAGGGTTTTAGGGGTCCTATAAGAAATAGTTAATAATAGAAAAAGGTTAAATAAACAATTGGGTAATATTATTCAAATCTCCATAAGAGAAACAAAGTTTTCCGATCGAGAAATATTAATTCTCAAGAATTCTATACCATTTCTACGAAAATTTGTTTTTTTCCCCATATAAAATACATGGAAAACTTTGAGTGATTTGAGCGACCCCTAAATAATTTTTGATTTCCAAATAAAAACTACTTTTCGGTAGAGGTTGAGAGCATTAAAATTCCGACTTTCAATGTACATACATATACATACAGTCACTCACAGAAGTATTCGTAAATTAGTTTTTTCACAATATTCAAAATGTTTTCCATCATAAATCTTTTTAGCTAATTTTCATTTAAAATATAGCTCATTCTATAACGAAAACCATATAAATCATTCTTGCAAACTATGTACAAAATTCATAAAAATGAATCAAACTTAATAAAGTTTTCATAAAGATTTCAAACTTTTTATTCAGAATTTTTAGAAAAATTTTCGGTATACAGTTTTGTAGCCCGTTCAATTTTAGTATAATAAAGTGCAAGTGTCAAGCAGCTAAAAATTACTGCAGATTTTTAGATTTTTTTTTGTCGAGGGTGTTGAGCATTTTCTTCCATATAAAAATTTTTGTTAGAAAAAAAAGAGTTCTAAAAATCGGCGGTAATCTTTAGCCACTTGAAACTTGCACTTTATTATACTAAAATTGAACGTGCTAAAAACTGCATACTGAAAATTTTTCTAAAAATTCTGAATAAAAAATTTTAAATTTTGATGAAATTTTTTTTAAGTTTGATTCAGTTTTATGAATTTTGTACAAAGTTTGCAAGAATCATTTATGTGATTTTCGTTGCACAATGAGCTATGTATATTTTAAATGAAAATTAGCTTAAAAAGATTTATAATGGAAAACATTTGGAATATTGTGAAAAAAACTAAATTACGAATACTTCTGTGAATGACTGTATGAACCCGTATTGAATTTTTATGAATATTAATTCAACTGTACTGGTATATTGATCACTTTCTTATTAATGCAAATAATGTATCAGTTTATTAAATTGTTACCAATTGTCTGAAAATAATAAAAAAGTTAACAAAATAGTGAGCTACTTTTTAGGTACATTTGCCATCAAAAAGATACATTTCTATTGTCAAATTAGGTACAATTTAAAATTTCGATTTTCCAACTCCTTTTCTACATAACTACTACTTTTTAAATTTTTTTGGTTTCTTTTCAAATATGTTTATATATATGGGGCAATTTACATCAAATGTCCCAAGCGCGCTGAGCGGTGCAAAACAAGCTACTTTTCGACTAGCTGGGAAGTAGACAGAAAATGGGAAAATTCTAAACGAAAATTTATTTATAATTTTTCTCAATTATGGTAATTCTTAATATTAGTTGTGTTTAATGAGCTGCTCTAGGTTACGCCAGGTTAAGATTTCTCACAAAATTGTGTTTCATGAGGATTTTTGTTGGTCTATCTTACTGTAGTTTTTGTTCCATGACTGGAACTAGAGCAACTTAGAGCACGATTTTCTGCACCAGCTTTTTTGATGGAGTAACTTAGAGCAAGCAACCGTTTTGAGAATTTCTGCCTGAAAAGTGTTTCATGAGATTTGTGAACTGAGTTGCTCTAACTTGCTCTATTGTTTTTTTGACATCTGCTCGATTCTGCTCCAACTTGAGCTGCTTTGAACTTTTTTCGGTCTCCTTAACACAACTATTATTTTTAGTTATCTCAATCGAAAGATCAAGTCTTTTTACATAGAAATATTAATAAAAAAAAGGATTTTCTTTTTACTTTTCCAAGTTATAAAGCCTTTTAGAGCGCGCTAATCTACTAACGGGTCATAATAATATTGTTATAACTTTGCAACTACTGGACTTCCTTAAATAGTCATCTACAATACTGTTTTAAAACAAAAAATTGTTTTCAAACTTTATAACATAACTTTTGCATTTGAAGACAAACACCCTCTAAATTCTCATACAAAAGTTTTAAACCTGTAGTTTTATTTGTACTGAGTATTAGGAAGTGGTGTTAAATTTAAATTCTAGTTTGTAGTTTATTGGGTGAAAATTTCAAATCGATCGATACACAAACGCCTGCGATATAGCGAGTTTAAATGACAATTTTGTTAAAATTATCATCAAGAATCCCTTCAGTCCAATAAAAAAATTTCAAACAACGCCACTCTGT